CCTCTGCCTACTCCCCCTGCTCCTGCATCCTCCTCCTCCTCCTCTGGCCCTGATCTCCTCCTCCTCCTCCCTGCTCCTTCCACCCCCTCCTCTCTGTTCTTGTTCTGATTCTCCCCTCTTTCTCCTCCTCTTCCTCAATACACATAGTGAAAACTATAAATTATGAGGCAGATACAGCAGCAGACTGTAGCTCAGACTGTGGCATAATTCTGGTAGAATATCCTGAGTATAAAGAGCACTCTGCCCTGAGAAGGACCATATGAGAAATGCGTCCCCATTTTACCCAGACTGAAACGGTGGTTACTGCATGCAGCCGGCCACTGTAGACCTCGTTGCTCTACACGGAAATGCAAATCCTATAACACGGTGCATATGTGCAGAGGTGTGTGTATATATAAAAGGATTTACTGTCAGGAATTAGTTCATGTGCTCATGGAAGCTGGCAGTTCTCGTGGACCCACAGTCCACAAGCTGGAGACCCAGGAGCACCAATGTTTCAGCTCAAATCCAAAGACAGGAAAAAGCAGATGTTCTGCTCAGAGGCCGTCAGGCAGAAGGAACTCTCTCTTACACTGGAAGGTGGGCCTCTTGTTGTATTCAGGCCTTCACCTGATTGGACGAGGTCCACCCACACTGGGTGGGCACCTGGCTTTACTCAGTGGAGCCGTTTATTTTATTTATTACTGTTTTTAATTTTTTAATGTTTATTTATTTTTGAGAGAGAGAGAGAGAGAAATAGCTCATGAGGTGGGGAGCGGCAGAGAGGAGGGAGACACAGAATCCAAAGGAGGCTCCAGGCCCTGAGCTGTCAGCGGAGACTGATGTGGGGCTCGAACCCACGAACCGCAAAATCATGACCTGAGCCAAAGTCGGACACTTGACTGACTGAGCCACCCAGGTGCTCCTCAGTGCAGCCATTTAAATGTTCATCTCTCGGGGCGCCTGGGTGGCGCAGTCGGTTAAGCGTCCGACTTCAGCCAGGTCACGATCTCGCGGTCCGTGAGTTCGAGCCCCGCGTCAGGCTCTGGGCTGATGGCTCAGAGCCTGGAGCCTGTTTCCGATTCTGTGTCTCCCTCTCTCTCTGCCCCTCCCCCGTTCATGCTCTGTCTCTCTCTGTCCCAAAAATAAATAAACGTTGAAAAAAAAAATTAAAAAAAAAAAAAAAAAAAAAAAAAATGTTCATCTCTCTGGAAATTCCCTTGTGGACACACCAATAATAATGTTCAACCAAATGTCTGCACACCCATGACCCAGTCCCGCTGACATAGAATTAGCAGGCACACTCAGATGGCAGGGGTGAGGTCTGTTAACACGTGTGCCTCTTCCCTGCTCCCCCTTAGTCCCCACCAGTGGGTCTGGACGACTTGCTGTGCTCCAGTGGCCGAGGGCACCACCGCCTTGGTCAGGCATCGCAGCGTGGGCCACTTGCTGGATGGTGTCTGTGGCCTGTGGCTTGGGGACGGCATTTCTGGGGTACAGGTGAGCAGTTGTGATTTTCAAATATCCTCGGGCCTTTGGGAAAGTCTCTCATTGATAAAAAGATTCCTTGCATTTCTGGGAACGCAAAGTGTGAGCCCAGATGTGGCCGTTGCTAATTTCGTCCTCCGGTCTCCCTCCCACGGCCCTGCGGGCGAAGAATCCGGATACAAATCCCCAAGAGCCCCAGGGCCTGGCCAGCCAGCTCTGGGACAGCAGCCCGACCCAGATGGAGCCCCAGGTGTCACCCGAGGCCTCGAGACCCTCCTTGGGAAGGAGAGGTCCAGCGGCCAAGCTCCCAAGAAGCTGGGCTCTGAGCCAGGCTACTGGCTCAGCGAGGAACCCTCGACCCCTGTCTGTTGAAGATGCACGTATCTCAGGGATTCTGATTCTGTCCGTACGGTGGCCTCTCCATCTGGGTCCCCTGCTCCTCAGAGGGCCATTCAGCATGGCTCCTGTGGGCCCAGGAGGAGCAGCCATAAAACCAAGATACTTGCCCCTCTGCCCTTGACTCTTCCCTTTCTTCATGCATATATTGACTCACCTGGTGACGATGGACAAGTTACTTAAAAAAAAAAAAAACTCTCTGTGCCTCAGTTTGTTCCTCTGTGAAATGGGAATATTCATAGTACCTAGTTTGTAAGATTTTAGAAGGAGCAAATGAAGTCCTCCAGGCTCAGTGCTTTGCAGATGCAAAGTTTATTGTCATTATTATTACCCCTCCCCGCCCATGATCTCTGTCCCTGTGCTGGGCTTTCCTTTCTCTGTTACGGGGTTGACATCCCCTCCGGACAGATAGAACTCCCTTCTTTGGGCGGAACAACAGGGCGCTCACCGCTGCTGCCTCTTCCCCGCCATAGGCCCACCGCTGCTGCCCGCAGTCGCACCATCACAAGGACGCAGACCCTCAGGCCTGGTGTCCTGTGCACAGACAGGCAGGTACTGATGGCTGCTCTCTCCCCGGGGACAGGTTTAACCCAACACAATGCACACAGTGGCTGCACCTGCTGACCCTGTCCGTGCTGTGCTGTGTTTTTGTCACCCAGCCACTTCTGGTGAGTGGGGCCCTTCTGCTGGGGTCCCTTCCTGTCAGCAGGGGCCTGGACGTGGAGCCAGGGCTCCATTTAGGTGACACGTGATGACATCTCTCCAACCCCATTTTTCACTCGAGGACACGGAGCCTTGGGACGCAGAGGCTCTGGACCCGCCTCTCCCGGGGCGTGGGTGGGCGGGGAATCCTAGACAGGTGACACTAGGGTGCGCCTGAGCCTGTGACCGGGACAGCTCCATGGGTCACAGGGACAGGGGACGAGGACGGTGCCTTGTCTGATTTCTCCTTCCAGGTCGGCCTCGTGGCCTTGGGCTTTGCCTGGAGAAAGAGAGACGACCCACATTTCTTCACCGAGTCTCTGCGCGAGGCCACCAAGGACCTGGGCTCTGAGCTGGAAGGACATGTAAGGTCCCCCATGGCCCACCGTGCAAGCCAGATGGAGGAGGTGAGGCTGCCCTCGATGCCGTGGTCCAGCCTCCGCAGGCCGGTCTGAACTTCCTCTTTGGATTCAAACTCAACTGCGTTTTTGGAGACCCGTGGGTGTAATGTAGTTTCTCTGCTGCTTCACGTGCCCGTACGCGATGCGTGAGCACTCAAGACCTGTTTCCTTACCTCTGCCCCAATCCCGGAGAAATCAGAGCATCAAGAACAGTCGCCTATTGTATTTATTTTTTTTAGTTTTTACTTTATTATTTATTTTGAGAGAGAGAGAGAGAGAGAGAGAGAGAGAATCCCAACCAGGCTCTGCTCTGTCAGCACAGAGCCCAGCATGAGGCTCAAATGCACAAACCTCAAGATCATGGCCTGAGCCTACTTTAAACTATTTTTTTTAATGTTTATTAAAACATGTCTCTCTCGAAAGAGAGAGACAGAGTGTGAGCGGGGGAGGGGCAGAGAGAGCCAGAGACACAGAATCAGAAGCAGGTTCCAGACTCTGAACTGTCAGCACAAAGCCCGACATGGGGCTCAAACCCACGAACCGTGAGATCGTGACCTGGGCGGAAGTCGGATGCTCAACCAGCTGAGCCACCCGGGCGCCCCATGAGCCTACTTTAAACTATTGAAGCAGATAAGAAGTAGAATTCTTGGCCATGATTTTGGAGAACTTCTAAGTCATGTGCGTTTCACAACAAATCTAATTCTTGCTGCTTCCTCCCCCTCCTCCCATCAGTACCCCCCTTGTGTGTGCAGCCTTCTCTCGGGTGGGGTGGACAACACGAAGGCAGAGGAAGGTCTCCCGTGCGGAAGGGTACGGGCTGGTCCCCGGCAGGTGTCGTGTCTTCCTGTGGAATGACCAGGGACACGCCCCAGCTCACTGATGGGCCTCACCCCTACCTTTCTCTCCCAACTGCCGTCCTTCCGCAGGTGACCAGTGAGCCCTGAGGCTAACTGGCCTATGGCATTATTGCCTGAGTAACCCGTCGGCCCCCTGGTGATGGAGAGCATGTGCCGTGTGTGTGCCCCGCCCTCACCACTTGTTCATACTCAGCGTGTTTCTCCCACCACCTCGTGCAGCGGGAGCATCACTGCACCTGCTCTAAGATCAGTCACAGTGAAGCTGGGAGCAGTGATGTAATTAGACCAAGGCCACCTGGGTGGTGACGAGGCTCTGGGCTGCAAGGCTTGGCCACACTCCTGCTGCACTTGGTGGCCCTCAGCACACGGCTCTGGTTTCTCTCACCTTCCTGGTCTCTTTTCTTTCTCCTTCCGTCCCACGGGCAGTCACCGCCCCTGTGCGGCAGGTCTGCTGGCCCTTCTGTGTCTTTGGCCTCCGGTTCGAGCCCGGTCACAGGTGCGGCCCTGATGCGGGGCTGGCGGCCAAGTGCCCCCGCCCAAGGTGTCCCTCGGTGCGTCCTGTCCTCCTTGGGACTGAGGATGGTGCGACGGCTGCAGGGGGTGGGAGCATCCCTGCCCCAGGGCCCCACCCACGTGACTTCCCGGGACAGGGGTCTTTGACTTCTTAGGCGTCCTGAGCACCTAACCCATGCCCGTAATCAGTCGGTGCCAGACAGCTCCCCCTGTGCAGTGACATTGTCCCCAGAGCTGGCAGAGACCTGCCCCCCCACCGGCCCGCTGCCCGCCCGCCTGCTGTATGTGACCCGCACAAAGTGGCTCTGCCCCCATCCCCAGGCCGCATGAACGGTCCGGACTGCAGGACCTCCTGCCCTTATCCGTGGTCCCCGGCTCACAGCGCTGTCGTCCCCACAGATGGTGGCTGCCCGACAGCGAGCACGCCGCCTGCGCTGGGCACGTCCACCGTCCGCGGCCCAGCTCAGCGTCACCAGGGAGAGGATGAGGAGAGAGACCCGGACGCGGGTGGCCCTGAGGTGGGTGGTGGCCCGACCGGGTGGCTCTGCTCTCACCCCCCTGCAGAGGGGGCGCTGGTGGCCTGGGAGCAGGGGTTGTGGCATGCGGGTGGGGACCCAGCTGCAGGGGAGGGGCACCAAGGGGACGGTGGGTCCAGAGAGAGCAGGTTTGCAGGAGGCTGAGTCTTTTCCGTTTGCATGTGCCGTGACTAACAGTCTAGAAAATCCTACAAAAACGAACAAGAAAACAGGCAGAAGGGAATTGAGCCAGGTAACAGGCTATAAAACGAAAATGCAATATTTGAGAGAGGACTGTTTAGTGGGGCAGGGAAATAAAACACAATAGACCCACACAGGCATCAGGTAGAGGAGAAGCGAGTGCAGCCGGAGGAACGTGAAGATGACTTAAAAACACATGCCCTCTTCTCCTCGACTGGGAAGACGACACCCGTCTTCTAGAGTGCCGTCTAACGTTAGCTTACAACTGTAACGCGCTCTCAATCAAGGGCCAGCAGACCTTTCTGGTTTTCTTTTCTTTCTCCTCCTCCTCCTTCATCACTCGTTCTGGCCCATGATCAAGTCACTCTGGAAGAAGGAACATGGAGAACCGGCCAGGAAAACCCCAGAAGGCAGAGCCAGCGCGTGGGGCTCACTCTGCTGGCTGTGACGGTAAGACCGCAGCCCCCGAAGAGGGTGGCTCTGGGCACACGAATAAGAGACGGCCCCACGGAATGGATGAGGAAGTCCGGAAATTGACCCGAATGCAAATGCCACCCGATGCGAGTGTGTGACAAAGGCACCATCTCAGATCTTCAGAAAAACGAGGGAGCTTTTAACCAGGAATAATTGAACGGTCATGAGAGAAGCGTAAAAACAAATAAATAACTGGATACTTTTGTCATAAGACATGCAAATTCCAAGTGGATGAAGATTTAAATGTGAAAGCAGAACCATGCAAGTCCCAGAAGAAAGTGTGTGTCAATTTCTCTGTGACCTGTGGGTGAGGAAAACGTTCCTGTGACCTAAAATCCAGAAACAGAAGAGGAAACAAATTTGGGGATGTCAGACTCAAAGAAGAGACACCTGGTGCGACATAAGATGTCATACGTAAAGTAAAAACACAGTGACAAACTAAGAGGAGTATCTTAACATACGAAGAGGTTTAAAAAAATGGAAAAAAGACCAACAACTCTTTAGAACAAAACTGGGCTCAGGAAGCCAACAGGTGAGGATAGCACTTGGGCTCGTAAGCGAGTGAATTGCAGACTAAAAGTGCAGAAATCTGCAGTGGTTGGTGGGTGAGCTGATGGGGAAGAGATGCTGTCACATAGCGCCCGTGTGAGTGCGGAATGGAACCGCCCCTGTGGGGACCTGGGAAGCCCCGCACCGTCACAGATGCATTTGCCTCAACCCGGCGGCCCCGCTCCAGGAAGCGCGTCAGCAAAACCTCGAGACAACCCAGGCACGAGACAGGCCGTGCGGGACCTTCTGCCATAGAAAGAGCCTAAAAATAACCCCGCTGTCTTGCGGGAGGCCAGGGCGCCTGGAGCACGAGGACTGTCCGCACAGACGGGGGACACCTCTCCGTTACAGGAGAGAAGCAGGTGGGAAAGAATGTACGTGTGGGCTACCCGCCACTCGGCCAACCACTAGGAATCAAGTTTCTGTGCATCCGCTTGTCCTCAGTAGAATGAGGGATTTCCTACCACTTTAGGAAATTGCTACTTTGGGGACAGAAAAGGAATAGGATTTTCAAAAATTTGCCTCAAGATGAAAACATTTGACCTTACAAGCCTGCTCCCTAATGACAGAGAAACTAGAGAGAAAGTCATCCAGCAGGTTCCACAACGGCATTTGTCATTAGCGCAGCGTTCTTGTCTTCGTTCTGAGCGCTGGTTCGTGTGGGATGTGGCAAATGAGGGATTCTCTGACTTCCTAATTCTCAGTGTGGGAGAAAGGAGGTGCAGATTTGAGTCTGAAAAAGTTAAAACGTTATAGTCCTGACTTTGAACTAAAAGTGACTGTAAATATGTTGGGGCGCCTGGGGGGCTCAGTGGGTTAAGCGTCTGACTTCGACTTCAGTCATGGTCTCGCTGTTCTTGGGTTCAAGCCCAGCGTTGGGCTCTGTGCTGACAGCTCAGAGCCTGGAACCTGCTTTGGATTCTGTGTCTCCCTCTCTCTGCACCTTCCCCACTCATGCTCGCTCACTCTCTCTCTCTCTCAAAAATAAATAAACATTAAAAATGCTTTACAAAGGGGCGCCTGGGTGGCTTAGTCAGTTGACTGTCCGACTTCAGCTCAGGTCATGATCTCACGGTTTGTGAGTTCGAGCCCCGCGTTGGGCTCTGTGCTGACAGCTCAGAGCCTGAAGCCTGCTTCGGATTCTGTGTGTGTGTCTCTCTCTCTGCCCCTTCCCTACTCAAGCCCTGTCTCTCTCTCTCTCTGTCTGTCTCTCAAGACTAAATAAACATTGAAAATTTTTTCAAAAAAATGCTTTAAGAATAAGTATGAAATAATAGTTTTTTTTTTTAATAAGGAAAAAAGTTTTTTCTACATCTGTCTACCAAGAAAAGGCCTAGAAAAAACCCAGGGGCAATGAGCAACTGTAGCCTAGATCCTGGTGTACAAATACCATTTTCCACCCAAAAGAAACAGGTATCGTTGGATTTCATGATTTCAAGTCTGTGATAGGAAACATGTAAGGTAAGCCTGGAACATTTGGTAAGCAAGGAAACAATTAATAACTAGACTCAGAAGCCAGTTTGAAGAGGCTTGAGTGGGTCAGAGATGGGTAATTAGACATAAAATCAGAGATCATGATAGAGATCGTGGTAACAATGAATTAAAGCTCATCAAATATCCATAGATTTGCCGTGACACCAGAAATGTAATTGATTCGCGCCGGCAGATATGTGGGAACCAACTTTCAAAAAGCCGGTAACAAAGTATCGGTCCCGTCTTCCCAAACTGCCCCTGGGAAATCACATAACAGGGAAGGAATATTTCTCTTTACAGAGGTATTCCAGCTAACAGATGAAAACAAAATGATAGGATTGGACCATTTTTCAGACTTTAATGAATGAACGAGTCTAAGCGTCAATCATCCACAAAGGCCACCATGAAGAAAAGAAGAAAGAACCAGACATTATGTGTCTCCTGGTGGGAAACACATCACCCAGGAGGGAACCTACCCCAAAGGGCCTGGTCCTAGTCTGGTCACGTTTTTGTGCTAACTTGCAGCTGACAAGAGAGCACGTGCTGGGGTCCCCGGGAATCAGGACAGAGAGAGAGGGGAGCAGCGACAGTGCCAGTTCCCTCCACCCAAGTAGGGGTGCTGCCTGAGGGGGTAAGAGAGGCCAAGGCAGGAAACCGTGAATGGAATCCACTGTATCCACAGAGCAAGTAAGAAAAACTATCTGATCATCTCGATAGATGCAGAAGAAACCATTTGACCAAATTAGACATTCATTCATGGGGAGAAAACATCTGTGCAAACTAGGAATAGAAAAGAACTTCCGTAAAACAATAAAGGGGATCCATGAAAACCCTACGCCTAACCTCACACTTAGTGGTGAGACAGTGTGTGCTTTTATTTTTAAGTTTGGTTTAATTTTTATTAATTTTTTTAAGTTTATTTTTATTTGAGAGAGAGATAGAGAGCAAGCAGAGGAGGGACAGAGAGAGAGGGAGACAGAATCCCAAGCAGGCTCCACGCCGTCAGCAGAGCCCGACATGGGGCTCGAACTCACAAACTGCAAGACCATGACCTGAGCTGAGATCAAGAGTCAGACGCTTAACTGGCTGAGCCTCCCAGGTGCCCCAGGGCGTGCTTTTAGGAATCAGAAACAAGGCAAGGATGTCCCCTCGTCTCTCCCTGATTAAACCTTCTGTGATAAGGCCTAGCCCATGCCATAGGCAGGAAGAGGAAATACACAGTTTACCAGTTTGAAAAGAAGAAATTACACAGCCTCTTGCAAGAGGACGGGACTAGTCCGTACAGAAAACTCTCAAATATTCCGTGAAAAAGGCTCTTAGAACCCCTACGTGAATTGAGAAAAGTTGCAGGAGAAACGTCACCCTGCAGTCGGTTCTGTTCCCAAACACCAGCAGGGAACAGCTGGAATTTAAAATGCACAAAGGAATAGCGTATACAGTAGTACAACAGAAGTAAAGCTCTTGGATACAAATCCAAGAACACACGTGCAGAATTTGTATGCTGAAAACCACGGAACACTAATGAAAGACATCCAAGAAGATGTAAAGACACGGAGAGACCTGTCCGTTGGCTGGGATCCTTGTGTGAAGGTGTGAGTTCTTCCCAAGTGATCCATAGGATCTCAGTGTACTCCCAACCAGCGTCCCGCAAGCTTTTTCATAGATCTTGACACGCTGGTTCTGAAACTTCAATAGAAAGCGCAAGAATTAGGGTACCAGAACAATTCTGGAAAAGAACAAACAAAGCCAGAGGACTGACTTTAGGACTTACCGTAAAGCCTCGGCAACCAAGACACCATGGGATTGGTGATAGAACAGACCCAAAGATCAGGGACAGATGGACAGACCAACACAAATACACTCAGTTGATTTTTTGATGGGACACGAAGGCCCATCTCATTGGAGAAAGGGTAGTCTTTTTAAAAATGGTACCAGTAGGGGCGCCTGGGTGGCGCAGTTGGTTGAGGGACCGACTTTGGCTCAGGTCATGATCTCACAGTTTGTGGTTTCGAGCCCTGCGTCGGGCTCTGTGCTGATGGCTCGGAGCCTGGAGCCTGTTTCGGATTCTGTGTCTCCCTCTCTCTGCCCCTCCCTGCTCATGTTCTGTTTCTCTCTCTCAAAAAT